ATTAAAAAAAAAAAAAAAAAAAAAAAACTAAAAAGCGAATACCTATTCAGAAAAATGGTTTAAAAGATATGTTTTTCAAGCTAATAATGAGGCCTCTGTTTGTCAAATTTATAAATTATTTGTAAAGAAAAATAGTAAAAGAAGTAATATTACATTTTACAAAACGTGTGGATAATAAGTGAATAGTAATATTAGACTTTGACGGAATTTATAGCCATTATAAAATGAGAGCCAAACCCTTGCTAAGCTTATTTCATTGTTCCCTCTTGAATTTTTTCTACCTAAACTTTATCTTAGGTAGGATGTGTTTAAAATTGAACTGAAAATATAATATTGGAGCAATATAATCTTATTTTGAATATCTATTTCATAATGAGAATGATTTCTGTAATGGAATAACAAATCTTTAATAATGATGATATATGCCATAGTTCAATTTTCATCAACGGTTGTTAGTCTATATATCATAACTCAAACTTTAATCATTTGGAGAAAGAGTCAATGAATGACATGGTACCAACACATCTCACTCTCCATTTTCGGTTATTATGGGGTGAAATTAGTGAGCTAAAATGGAATCATCATATATTCAAAATGTTATGTGGTCAGTTTAAATTATTCCATATCGAATAGAATTTGTTTAATCTCACTTTGTTTATTCTACATCAAATAGGAATATGTCCTTTTTTGCCACTAGTAACATGACTAATTTGGATCCTTCACACCTAGTTAGACGAACATAGTCGAACCCTTATATGTAAGAGCTTCCTTTTTTACCTAAGAATATCCAAATTTGGGAAATAATAATAGACTACTTAAGGGTATGGCTTGGAGATTATTTATAACCTCCTTTGGTACAATAATTTGTGGTTATTTTGGTTTGAATATTTGTACTTGTTTGGTTATTTCGTAGTATATAATTATTGATAGCTTTGAGATCATATAATACTTTTGTATTAATTCCGTTTCATTGTAGTGAAGAATGTGCCTATTCGCATAGGTCAAGGGTGGAATTAAAAGGAAAAAAGGTCATTGAAATATATCAAGGTATAACTACTTGCAAGAGATTCAATTTAAATAATTTAG